AAGTTAAGGAAAGATGATTTGGTCTCCGCTGGATCTACTTCCCGGGAGCTCTCTCTTCTTTCTTATTGAAGAAGCTAAGCTGTTCTTCCTCCTGTTCAACTGTGAAAAATATCTTCGAAGGTTCGCAGGAATATGCTCTTTGCCTTTAGCCTGGCACTTGCCATTTCATCAGCTGCTGTTAGCTCTCCAGGGAACTTAGGGATTCACTGATGCTGTTGTTCACGAATCCCTTTCTAGTGGACTTGGCTAGACTAATTGCAGAGGATAAGTCGGCAGAGATTGCAACGTGGAATCCGGAGTGAAGACTTAAGCATTCAGTTCCCTTTCAACCGGTAATGCCGTATGCTAACACCCCCTCACGAGATGGAAAATGGTTGAAAGTAAAAAAAAGTCAAGCAGGAAAGTCATCAGTCCCTCTTCATTCCATCCAGCCTGGGAAAAAACTGCATTGCTGAGGCGAGACTAGTTTTCCGAGAAGAGGTCGGTTAGGAATCAGTGTGATCAAAAGAGGAATTCAATCTTTCTTCAATTGACCCTCCTCAATGAAAAGCTTTTCGCACCGTCTCAACTACTTCTACTTAACAATTGGCCAAGACTTCTTCTAAAAAATGAATTCCGTCCGGGCCAATCAAAAGACAGCCTTTTTAACTAACTTCCATCTCAGTAATGGGCTGATTGAATCGCATCTTCTGGCCTATTCTTCTTCTTGTTGAAATTCTTGGCCCTTTCCAAAGTAGCTTCATCCCTGGCCGATCAAGCATTGAGAATCTTATCATTAGCCAGGAGGGGCCATTCATTCTTATTCATATATCAAGGGCTGGTAAGGTTGCCATTCATTCTATTAGGGGAAAAAGGGCTAAATTCAGGCTCTTCAAATCGATCTTGAAAAGGCATAGGCATATGAGAGGGTGAGATGGGATTTTGTCGAGAGCATTGGTAATCTTTTAGATTTCGGCTAAACGCTATCTCGCTACCTACGAGATGTGATTACCTTTACTTCGATAGCTCCTTAACCCGCCGAATACAACTATAGTAGCACCGGATACCGATTGGGATTAGCTCCTTCTCGGAATAGAATGGGGCAACAGTAACTATTTTTAAGGGAAAGCTCGTGTCAGGTCAAGCTGTCGTTTTGGTTGAATCGCTATTCTTCGGCCCGACCTATGGTAGTAGAAGTGGAGCCAAGGGTTGTTTGTTGATGTTCCTGCAAGCACGAGCGCCTAACATAAGAGTAGGTGCCCCACCACAGTGCCATTCCTGCCTAATTGAATCTCAATCGCTTTCTCTCATCCCACATCAATAGTGTTGTGCCCCATCGCATCGAGTGGCTTCAAATCAAAATGCATTCCTAATTAAAGAAAAGAGGCCATTGAGAAAGGGTTTGACTCGCCCCGATCCAGATTCTACATAAGACCCGAAAGATGGAGATTCGCCTTTGGAAATAGAATCAAAAATCTCATTGACAATATCTTTCGATGAGCTCCTTTCTTCTCCTCGCGCACGATACCCATTTAGTAGAGCATCCCGAAAGCAGCGGATATGGGTTCAAGAATTCGAATTTTCCAGCCGGTAATAAGCTCATAAGGAATGGCTAGAACCGTCATTGACCTCCTTTACGTGGAACTTCTACTACGCTTCTGAGTCTACATAAGAGTATTCATTCTTCAAGGACTCAATACGAAGTAATGCAGCAATGATATGATTGATGGATCTCCTTGGCCCGCCCGATACACAAGTATAGTTAGGAGCCTAGTTCCATTGAAGTATAAGCTCCATTGACCGGATGGAGAAGGGCGCCAAAGACTGATATTCTCCCGATCGTGAAAAAAGCAAGTAAGGTGGGTCAACTACTTGGAGTTTTCCATCTTTCTTTTTATCTACCTCAATATGTTTAGTTCTCTCATGAAAGACAGGATTGGTGGCTATGTGTATGGCAGCTTGATTATCACACCACAACTCCATAGGCAAAGAACTCCCAAAGCCAATCTCAATCAATAACTCTTTAAGCCACATAAGCTCACAAGTAGTAGACTGGCTCTATACTCTGACTCAGCACTAGATCTTGCCACCACATTCTCTTTCTTACTTTTCCAAGATATCAAGTTACCCCCCACAAAGACAGAATACCCAGTGGTAGATTTTCTGTCAATAGGAGGGAGATCCTGCCCAATCTGCATCAGAGAATCCCAAAACTCTCTTATGTCCATGGTCTCTATACCAAATACCCTTCCAAAGAGGGAAAGAAATAGGAAATGACGGATCCTGCCATTCCAAACGCTACTTGAAAGCTCGGCATCGAAAAGGAGGAATTCGATCTGCCGCTTCTCTTCTTCGTATCTGTTTTCTTAATTTCAAGCGAGTCTATCAAGATTGTAGACGGGAGTTGGTTGGTAAGGGATAATGAGTGGTTTCGGTGCAGGTTGAGGGGTTTTTGAATAAGGCGCCTACGCCTAGGCCTTTTCTGTGGGCTTTCGAACTCTCCTTCCTACTACTCTTTCACAAGATAGCTTCCAGAAAGAGAGACTGGCTCTTTTCGCGACTCCGTTGCTATTGAATCTGCTGTTCTTGTTCGAGAATCCGCAGCACATGAATATGAGTAAAAAGAACTGATTGACCAAGGTCTTACAGAAGGAGCTTCTAGAGCCAAAAAGACGGGCTTTCCATGACCACGAGCAGACTAGGTTGTGAGAGAGGGAAAGAGATAAGGAGCTAGCCCTTTAGAATATATATTCTTTTTCGAGATGCAAGAAGTAACTAGTACCTGGAAAGAGAAGATGTGAGCAAAGAAAAAGCTTTTGCCACTGTCGTCGTAACCGCATGTAAAGAGAAAGTCAAAGTAAGCTGCACCCTATTCTCTCTATGGAAGCAAACCTATTGACTCCTATTCAACTCCATGTAAACGCACTCCCGCTCAAACGCCGGGGAGAGAGAATACCTATAGCTGGGGAAATACCTGTAATCCCGGGCCTATCCTTGACCTAGCCCTTGTGCTTGCCCCCCTTTTTATGCATAAGCACACTATTGTTACATTGCTTAAGACTGCAACTTCAACTGACTCGGTTGGATCGACATAGAAAGACTTCGCACTCCCAGCGAAATAGCCTTTCATTGAGTCAGGGAAGAGAAAGAGATGAAGCTACAGACCTAAAGAGAAGAAAGATCTCCCTCTGATCTGACAAAGAAAAAAGGCTGTTGGGAGTACCTCTTCAATCGGTACGTCTTTCTCACCTCAATCAGTCTTTAAGTTAAGGAAGGGGAGTACTGAGCAGCTTGAGACACGAAAAAGAAATAGCATAACGAAGATCCGAAATGGAAGCTGCAGCCTCTTTCGCAACTCGAGGAGATGCCACGCTTGTTAAAGAGTTTGAGTAGCCGACTGACTTTAGTCTGACTAAAAGGACTTCCTTTACTTTAGGAAAAGCAAGGGGAAGAGGGGCCATTCGAAGTAGCCGAATCTTAAGCTCAAGCCGAAGCAGGTCCTAGAAAAGAAGCAAATCCCGATCCCTCAGCATTAAAATCATTCGTATCAACTCTTTCCTAATAATCTGAAAAATCAGAAGCACAGACACTGAAACACTCTTCCGTCAACACGAGTTAGCTATTCTCTTTTTTGGTCTTTCAAAGCCTTCCATTCTTAAGCCAGCCAGTCCAGTCAATATAAATAAAGGTAGGAAACCGGACCTGGATCACTAAAAAAATGAAATGTTAATTGGCCCTCCCAAGGCCATAGCCCCGTTTCGTCCACTAAAAGTTTTTAGTTCAAAGAAGACGCCTCCAACTACTTATGGGAACCTACTCTTCTTCGGTTTCAGAATCGGTTGATGAACAAGAAGAATCTATTGCCTTTCATTGATCTCATAGTCTATATCTGATAAGGACAGTTGAGGCTGGGGTTGAAGCTCACTCTCCTTGACTTTAGAAAGGAAATCTGGACATGTGACTGATCCCACCATGTTCGGCTCACGCAAGGCTTGCATCCTGAGATGGGAGGACTGGCCGAGATGAGGGTCAGCGCCCGTACTAGCCCTTGACTAAGCGAAAGCGCTAATGGATGTCAATTTCTTAGTTCTTATACTAAGGGTGAGCTTACGAAGCTTCAAGCTAGGCTTTCCCTCCATTATAGATTAGTTCTTTACCTAGGCTAGTAAGATATTATAAGGGCAGGAAGGAGACATTGAAATCAAGAAAGATAAAGGAACGGGATAAGATAGTCGCTTACAGAAGGGCAGAGAGATCTTATTCAATGCGATAGAAAGAAGGCTTGACAAATGGAGCGAGAAAGCGGTAGATACCATTCCCAAATGCATACACAGTCAAGTTTCCACAATGAATCCCAGAATGGCTAGGTCAGTATGCCCATGCTTTGGAATAAGCTAAGCTCCTATGGGCCTATCCACTGCCACTGCGGCGGATGACACAGCTTGGTACCTTTACTGCGCCGATCCATTTTTGTTCTTCTCAGCGGGCTAGGGAACTACCCCTCTGCGATTGCACGACCTTTCCTCACCAGCAGAAAAGAAATCCAATCCAAGACCGTCCGCCTAGAGTTGATGGCAGCCTAATTCTTTCTCCCTAAACATATATAGAAAGAGGAGTAACGACGGGAATGGGACAGGTCACGACTACGTGTTTGACTCCGGCCAGAGAGTTCTTTTGTCCAACTACTACTCCAACTCGAGCTCTTAGCCCAGCAAGGTTCAGACCGAACATCGCCGACCCTAGAGGTCCACTCTAAACCAGGAATTCCTCCTATTCCAATTCTCAAGTCATACGATTTTCATACGGATTTGTGCCCGTATCTCCTTCTTTTTTGAGCCTGCCTTGAGCGGGCATGGAAGTCCCTCTTCTTATCAAGCAGGAAAGCCCGCGTATTCTTATTATAATGTCCATTGGAGCTTGACCTCCGGTGAGGCTTCTTTCCTTTCATAAGGGAGGCAGGGCTCTTTCCATGCTCGGCTAATTGAACCAAAAACAAGTTTCGGGTTTAATCGATAGAGCGTTTAGCTTGGATTGAAGACGCGAGAGTGAATTGGTCCGGGTCGATTTAATTTCAACTCATAAGGCTTTTCTTTAGCAAGGTATAGGATGGCGGAGCGTAGTGAACGAATGCAAAACAATAGGATGAGCTCGACCGGAATGAAGATCATAACCTGAGGGCGACGGAGCGTATGCCCAGAATCCAAACCGTGGAAATGTCACACTGCCACTGAGAGGTGCGATCCTGGCTCGATACGGAACCCCTTTTTAGCCAATCAATTGCGAGGTCCGTCCTTTTCCTACAGGACTAAACTAGAAAGTGTTTGAGTTCGCCAGCAGTAGGACTATCTGAAGAAGTAGCTGCTATGGCATACCATACCCATGAGCCTAATGAGAAGAGTCTCCCCCTAGCTTGACTACCTGTAAGCCAATGGGATCATTCAATGGATCAAGCAAGATGTTGATTTCTCTTTTCAAATCAAGGTCTTCTTCGAAAGAACCAGAGTTAGCCGAGTAGCTCGAGCAGGAGTTTCTTAAAAGCTGAAAAACAGAGGGCCCTTTTAACTTTTTTTAAAGTCTGGGAAACCAGAAACGGAATACCTAGGTCGCAAGGCAAGGGAGGACGGAACCCCACTTCGACTCACCAAGGAGAAGGTAAGTACTTTTATATCGTTTCTTCTGAAGTGATATAGATCAATGCCTGGACTGGGGTGGCGTCGGGCCACGGGAAAACGTTTGCAGATGCGACCATGAATCGAAATCGAAACATTCAGCTGTCGACAGACAAACTTTGCCGAAACGTCGACCGCAAACGAAGGATGGCGAAGCCCCGGTTCCCAGGGTTGGAGTATTCCCTATTATGAGCCTACTCAGATCAGAACTAAACTAGTTGATTCTCTTTCGCTTATCGGCCGGCCGGCTTTAAGCAACCTTCGCATTTCCTGCTGAGATCCCAAGTCTCCAAGTGGGCCCTCTTGGCCACCCGCGACCTTGGCTTTTTAGAGAATCCCGCTCCTGTGTCGTGGGACTTGTAGCTCGGCAGTCCACCGGGTGGGTTGGTTTGTTTATCCTTCCAGTTTCGAGTGTCTTCTTGGATAGTTATAGCGGCCCATAGGCGCAAGATGTACCTTGTGGGGGGCGGCGGTCCCCTGGACATAGTCCTTTCAGGCAGTGGCCGTTTAGTCCATGGTCCATTTGATGGTCGGTGCAAGGCCAGAAATTGGAACACATTGATTCCGCTCGTTCCCGTCCTTCGCTTCAGGGCCTGTCCCTCGGTGTGGTCAGTACTTCATACTGTCGGGCAGCGAAGCTTACACTTGTTCACTAATTATGACGGTTCGCCAGGGCCTCTTTCCTCCTCCCTTTTCTGCTCACTCGTAGGGGTTCGGACCCCCACAAAGGGGGAGGGAGTCAACTGAACATCTCAGCCATTGGCGGGAATTTCGCCCGCATCCGATCCCCAATTCTTGTTCACCCCGGATGATCGTGTTGGCCGAATTGTGACCTCGTACGATCGTGTCGGGTGAGCAACAGCCGCTTCGTCACAGTACTTACTTATGGGCTAACGGGTCACACTTTGGCCAAGTATCCTACAAAGAGACTCCCGAGAGCCAGAAGTATTAAAGGAATGGCCATTGGAATGGGCGCATCATGACATCTTACGATGTCTCGCCCGAATGAATTAGTTGGTACTAGAAATGTTAGAAAAAGTGAACGAAAAGAGTAATAAGAAGTGAAAAGGACAGAGACACTTCCCAACCAGAAAGCAAAGTTCCCACTGATGGTATACTTAGTGTAAGCGAGCTCTAAGATCACATCTTTGGAATAAAATCCAGTTAGAAAAGGAAATCCAATTAGAGATAAGCTGCCCATGAGCATCATGGCATAGGTAAAAGGGAACGAGGAGGCAAGCCCCCCATCTTCCGCATATCTTGCTCATCCGACATAGCATGAATCACCGAACCTGCACTCAGGAATAGTAATGCTTTGAAAAAGGCGTGATTCATTAAGTGAAAGACGCTAACCGAATAGTTAGAGATGCCGCAAGCAAAGATCATATAGCCTAATTGACTGCAAGTTGAATAAGCTA